GCACCTCCACAAACCACGTAAACCCCAAAAACAGAAATCAAACATGAACCCAGTAATGAGTGCACCGTTATTATTGATCACGTCAATGCTTGATGCGAGCGTTTCCATGAGGTGAGTGGGAAATTTCTCCAAGTGGTGAAGACGGTTGCATGAAGGGCATCTACTGCCAGGAACTGTTTTTGTAAACTTTGTCATCCATCCACAAAAGATCTCAGTTGGATTTAGATCAGGGGAACACGCAGGATGGTCCAACAGAGGGATGTTATCCTCCTGGGAGAAGTCCTTTGTCCTACGGGCATTGTGTGCTGTAGCATCATCCTGTTGAAAAACCAAGTCGTTACCACACAGACGAGGGCCCTCGGTCATGAGGGATGCTCTCTGCAACATCTGGACTCAGCCAGCGTTTGACGCCCCTGCACCTCCTTGTTCCACTGAAGGAAAAGCACCCCAGACCATTAAGGCGCCCCCTCCACTGTGGCGCATAGAAAACACCTCAGGTGGGATCTGCTTGTCATGCTGATAACATTGGAAACCATCAAGGTTACATTTGTCCTCCTCAGAGACTAAAACTTTCTTGTCAGTCTACAATCAAGACGTTTCCTTGTGAATAACTACCGAAGGTTAGGAGGTCCAGGAGTTTTAGCAGAACTACTGTGTGTATTGCAGTCTGCACACTTCAGACATGACAGATCCACAGTGATCTGCAAATGTACGTGGAGGCTTGTCTGTAAATCAGGGGTTCTTTAGCCCTGAGGTCACTCAGCAAGAACCACCAGGTGGCATATTACTCAGTCTTCACAATACAACACAAACTGTGCTTCTCCTTTCTTTGTCAGCTTTATTACTGAAACACAATGAACTCGATGCCAGCTCCAACATGCGAGGAAAATGCAATGGTTACTATAGAGCCTGGGATGAGTTTCAGTCAGCGCATTGTTCATATAAGTAAATAATGGAAGCAACACAGGTTCCTTTTGATTAAACCCAATAATGAAGTATCAGAGCAGAAGTGCAGTGATTCTGACTGTGCAATCTCTTCTTCTTTAATCCTGGCTCATTCTGTCCAACCCAGTAAGACCATAACGCATTAAAACGGCAACAACAACACGAAAACACGAAAACACTGCATGACAGCAAACGTCCTCAGCTGAGGAAGTGCAGTGGGCAGGATAATCCTCGTGTGAAGCTTATACATGAAGTAAATACATGGGCTCACTTCCTTTTTCAACAACAACACTGGGCCTGTTTAAAAGCTCTGTTTGGTTGGTTTGTCCATACTTGCAGCTTAGTTAAAGATCACTTTAAAGTGGGTGGATACAGAAAAGTCTTTCCATGTTTGCCTCTCAATCATACAGCGTCACGAGCTGGGTGAGAAGGAAAGGAAGCAACTTACACTCGCAACATCTCGGAAAAACTGCCTGGAGTCTCCCAGGCCAGCAGTGGACAGGATGGGGGCGCTGGCGGCCAGAGCTCCAGCCACTACGTTTGGATATTTGAGTCTCATATAAACTGACAACATCCCACCATAACTGCAGGAGCAGATACAATAAACAACAGATCAGCATATATCATAAAGAAGACTCACACATGCCAGAATTGTAAATACCTGTGTGTTTAAACGTGTCAAATCATTATTCGTTTATGTTACTGAAGCTTGCACTCTGCGGCTCCTGTTAGATCTGGTGTCTGATTCCCAAACACTATTTATCCTGGAAATGTCTTTTAGTAACCTTACACTGTCAGAACAGAGAAGTTTGTTTCATTGCAGGCTGCTGCTTTAGTTCAGTGCGTGAGCAGCTGGGTTCAAGCCTGACCCTTGACCTTTGCTGCATGTCTTAACCACATTTCCTGTCCATCTCTACTTAATATCCAATTAAAAAAATTATTTTAAGAATGAGTAAAAATCTAATTAAAGCAAGTTATTAGAAATTGGAATCAAAAGTTGTTATGTCTAGGGGCAGGATATACACATTCATTTAAACCGGCTTTAACAGGCTTTGTTGAATATGCCCAAATATTAAAGTAAAGAAATAAATACCTACAGTGTAAAGCACAGCTAAAGGCAAGTCACACAAGCAGAGAACAATGATGTCGGTGTGAGTTAGGGGCATCGTACCTGCCACCGAACACGATGACTGGACAGTCTGTGGCTCCCAGCTGCTGTTTCAGCTCGGTGATCATGATGGCGTAGTCAGCCAGGGCTTGCTCCACCGTCAGCAGGCTGATCTGAGGTATGTTGAAGGAGTCTTTCTCAAATGGTAGCGATTTGCCATAGTACCTCTGTTAGACAGAAACAAGCAAACAAGAAGTTCAAGCTTTAAGCAACAATCAGAAGACGGGCAGCCACGGTCCAGCTGCTGCAGCTCACAGGTCCAGCATGAGGACGTCCTCCTACATCCTCATGCTTCACTCTAGCTTCAGCTTTACTCTACTTGCCTTTTTGTTACACGAGGTGCAAATTGTCTTGAGCCACTAATAGACTGGTCACAAACACTGTCTGAGTTGTAAAAGAATCTTCTTACATGCTCAGCAAATATGACCAGCGCCCTCTGCTGTGCAGCCAGCTCTGTGATGAATCCAGAATTCAGGGCAAATTCCCAGATGTCTCCTTCATTGCCAGTGTAGAAGAAGATGGGTCCAAAGCCTTTTTCCCAGTACTGATCTAAGAGGACAGGAGAGCCCGATATTACGGATCACTTGCTGCTGAATGTCTTATATTATTAACAGGGAACTACATTCACCTGTGACCAGGTAGCGCTGATTAAATGTCCCATTTCCCATACTGTTGAAGTTGAAGTGATCCAGAGTCTGAGTGAAAAACTTCTCTGTGAACCGTGGATCTGCGTCATGATGCTGTCGTGACTACAAAAAGGAATGAAATGCATAAAGATCAAGACTTTAAACAGGAGTGTCATTTTACATTGTGAATTATTGTTACTGGTTTGTGCACAAACTGGTAACTTTTTTCCTCAATCAGGCATTTAATGGTCATTTCAAATCCATGTCTGATATCTGTAGTATGGAAACCATCTAGATAGAAAATGGGTATTCTCACCAGTGACAACTATAACAATAATAATAATAATAATAATAATAATAATAATAATAATAATAATAATGATGGATTGCATTTATATAGCACTTTTCGAGACCCTCAGAGCGCTTTACAACACCACTGTTCATTCACTCTCACATTCACACACTGGTGGAGGCAGCTACAGTTGTAGCCACAGCTGCCCTGGGGCAGACTGACAGAGGTGAGGCTGCCATATCGCGCCATCGGCCCCTCTGGCCATCACCAGCAGGCGGGAGGTGAAGCGTGTTGCCCAAGGACACAACGACCGAGACTGTCCGAGCCGGGGCTCGAACCAGCAACCTTCCGATCACAAGACGAACTGCCAACTCTTGCGCCACGATCGAATATCTGAATAATTTTCAGATATTTTAATTATTAAATGAAAACTTACAACAGTTATAATTGGGAACTGAGAAGCATATAAACCTGTAGGCTCCAGTCCACACACCACAAACAAATCCCTGTTGAAGCTCAAGCTGTGCTGGGCCGAAGTCAACAAAACACTCAGCTTTATCACTCTGGGCTCTTGGCGTTCCCAACGTTCCCAACGTTCCCATGCTGTCTGTAGAGTATAACCCAGCTGTCCTGGGATGGAGCCTCCACTTTACCATTGCGCCTCATCCTTTAAAAGTAATGTGCATGTGCACGATGTAGACTGCGCTGCTATTCTCCTCCTCTGACACACAAACGGAAATCAACTGATTTCACAAAAACCAATAAGTGGGATCAATAAGAAATCCAAGGAACTGGACTGCTGGGAACTGGTTCTTGGTTCCCATCCTTAGTTTTAATGGAGTTTAACTATTTAATGATAAAATATCAGTAGTTGTAATTGAATTACAGATATCTACAACAGACACTTACATTGGTGAGAATAACAAAAATTAAGAACCAACTACTGAGAAATTAGGAGTTTTTATTTAATCATGAATATCTTTCCTTGGAAAGTTGCTGTGGGCACAAATCCAATTATTGGCATTAGGAAATCCATGTTTGCCCACTATTTCCTGTGGAAAAATAAACCAGGTCTGCTAAAAACCATCGTAGTGTGACTTTCGCCCTTCTTCAAATCTGTGAACACTCAGAGAATTTCATGTTTAACTGCAGAACCAAAACATAGCAGGGGAAGTAATTATTGCTGACTCTGCAACATTGCTCAGTTACAAAAAATAAAGTCTCTAATTTTTTATGGTAGTTTCATTATAAGAGAGAGAGACAGAAAAACATCATATAAGCAACACCAGCTGATTGTGTTCATGTGGACGTTTCGTCATCATCAGCTGACGTCTTCAGTCTCAGCTGACTGCAGGTTTCCAACCTTATAAACAGGACGTTTGCACAGTGACTGAAACCAGCAGCACTGAATGAACACTGGGCTGGGAGGTCAGCTTATGATCATTCATAATTTGGGTGTTGGTCTTCCCGAGTTTTTATATGACGTTGTCAATCACAGAGTCAATCTAAAGCAAAAATATTGCCATGAATTATCGTAACGGTGCAGGTCGCTCAGCACGGAATAAACGATGGAGCATGAAATGACGTTTTAATATTTGACCGCACAGCTTCAGTAATTCATCTCCAACCATGAAAATCAGCGCCTGAGCAAACTTACAACATCAGGTGTTCACCTGATTTTCCGGCTGTCGTTTAAAAACGCGCTTTACATGAACACAGACCGAGCAGCCAGTTAGGCTAACTGGATCACGAGACTCTGGCCGGAAGTAACACATGATGAAAACATTGTGTCACGTTACCTGCAAATACGTGTGCGGCAGACTGTGCAGCACGTCAACACACAAGACGAGCGCCACGGAGGACAAAATGAATCTCATGTCCACGGATGTCACCAAAATCTCGTCACAGTACAACTGGCCAGAAAGTCCTTTAGTTTTTAAATTCCCGACTACGCCTGCGTCGCACGTCATATGATCCAACGTCGCAGTGATGTGTTTAAGTGCCTTCTTGAATAAGTCGGAATTTTCAGGTTCACAGTCCCGTACCCGAGTACGCGGAAACAAATCTCCGAGAATACGTTTGTTCTTTGTAGAAGTAACATGACAAGATTTAACACATATAAAAACACTCTCTCAAAATACTCTAAATACCCTTCTACTCTAGTTAGTATCTGCATTAAAATTACTTGACAGCAAAATGAAAATAAACAAAAATGAAATGTCACCGTATACATGGTACCGTGAAAGAGTCTTGAGCCACTTCTCAGTTTTCTGGTTAAATATTTCTGCTTGAGAAATGGGAAAAATATTGACTTACTGACAGCTCTAAAGAGATCGAAAGTCAATATTTGGCGTGACCAACAGGGCCTGAATTCTCTTTGGTAAGTTTCTTTATAGTTTCTTGAATTTATCCAACATTTCTCGAAGCTTTTTCGAGTAGATTCTTTGGGAATTGATGATTTTTCTTCTGTTATCTGTTAGGATGATCTCATGCTGATTGAATAATGCTGAAATCCAGGTTGTGGGAGGTTAATCTATGACTCACAGCTACATTGTGTATTTTCTGTGCAGGTTTTTTTCTGCATTGAGAGGTTTCTAGATCATTTTCTTGCTGAAAAATTACACACCTGAAAAACCAAAAAACTGCAGATTGCTGTAGATCAGGGGTCTCAATCTTCACGTCTTACTGACGGGAAGAAATATGTGGTTTCTCCCTTAAAGTGACTTTTTTTGTTTCCTGTTTCCTGTTCCTGACTTTTACATACTGATGATGATTGTCTCAGATAATTTAGGATGTCCAATGCAGAGATATCCTAAACTTCCCTCACTTTTAGCAGCAGCAGCAACTGCAACAAAGTGCTTACATATTTCTTTAATGGGCAGGGCCATGATAAGACTCGTGGTGCACATAAACAGTAAAACACAACCAGTGCAGCCGGTTGACCCAGTAAGGTATGAATAAAAAAGTCATCCTTTTCCTTGTTTTGCAGCTTTATGGCAGTTTTTAATGCCTCTGTTAGCTTTCTATTGTGCAGAGCTGTGATTTCTGGAAAACAGATGACTTTGTCTCCTCGTTTCCTTCTGTGAAATATTTCAGGTAAAGGTAGGTCAAAGGTCAGTGTGAATAGATTCAGCTCAGAACTGCTTGGAGATATAATGTAAGCTACACCATAGTTATAGGCAATATGATATGACTGTAAACACTGGACAATGTGAGGTATTTCATTGTTAGTTTAATGATCAGACATTGAGCCTCAGTGGGACCAGCTGTATAAATTAAAGCAAACATAAATCCACTGACTCAGACTTATAAATGATATATGGCTAGAATCAGGACATAATGTCAAACAGGTATGCGTAAATCATGGGCAATTCATGTATTTTGTAACGGCCGTTCTTACGGTACGTGCAGCGTTAACAGGTGAATTCCACAGTCATTGTGCCACTGTGGGTTTTATCTCAGGAATGTGAATAGAGAACCTCTTTGTTGCAGCTGGGTGGAGACTTCTGAGGAGACCAGTATGTCTTACTCACACTTCCCTGTGAGCACAGACAGGTCCAGAGGACGAGAGACCAACACTGACAGAACTCAAAGCAGCCGCTCATTCAGGAACAAAAGGTAAGCAGCAGTCTGAGTGTGGAGTGATATTTCAGAGAGAAGCATTTAAACTTGTGTGAAGTGAAGTAAGCAGCATGGGCAAACAGGCACTGCATATGGTACAAGGAAGTATTCCAGGAAAATTGTGCTGAATGTTACAGATCAGTGAACTTTCTCTCCAGCTGCATCTTTTCCTTCTTTTTGCTGCGTTCGATATATTCGATATATTCTGTATTTCTCTAATACCTGTCTAATTGTCTTCCTCTTTTACATCACCGTACTCTTCTCCATCAGACTACTTCTTTCTTTCCTGTCTTAAACATCCTTTCATTGATCCTTTTACATTTCACCCCAGCTGTCATAGGGCGAGAGGCACCAGTCTGTTACTGAACTAACACAGAGACAACCATCTGTGCTCACATTCACACCAGTTTCTCTTCAGCCTGACAGAAGTTCCTATTGTTCTTAACACAAATAGTTATTATTGTCATCGATATTCCGAAAATGTGGGAATAATGACAAAATGTTCAGACTTGCTCTCACTGAAGTGTAACATATTTTAGAGCGACCAACATTTACTGTCAGTAAGATAAACCCTCACAAATATATATGAGAGCCTCAAACAACACCATGATAGGATGAAGGCACACAC